TTGTACGCTGTGCAGAAAGAGTTAATTGATAAATTGGCGATGAGGTGGAAAATCTATGCTAAAATATTGTCTATGAGCGAACGAGTTGAGTTTTTTGCCGGTGGCAAAAGAGACACTTTGACGCCAAAGAGCCACTTCCTGAATGGAGAGTGGCAATCTATCTAAATATTGATTTTACTACCTCCATTCCACACTCCTTCGCCACAATGCACGAGGCCCAAACCATCGTCACTATATTCCTTATATGAATGTACATAAATTTGATTCTCTATCAGGGATTTCCATCGGCTTACGGGAGCTTCTTATTCATTATTGATTGAAGAGCTTTGAGGAGACGTCTGGGATTATATATCTCTTCCCTCACACAGTCACACTCTCATTTGTTCAAATTTTTCATGAAGTCTCCTCTGCATTTTCCACACCAAACATGTTCATATTTCTCTGAGAATATAACGAAAAATATGTCTCAATTAGGCACAGAAGTTTTGCACCGGAACAATGTGTCATTTAATTTGTGTTTCTACCAAAAAATCATGTTCAAAAACACTCTTTCGTTAACACTGCAAGAGCTAAAATTATTTTCAAAGCTACATTTTGCATAAAGAAAACATAATTCTGACTTTGATCCCAGTCTGGTGAAATTTAAAGCTGAGTATAATTGAATTTCACCATGTGGAGCAAAAGATGAAGTGAACGAGATCTTTTATGAGTGAAGTTCATTTTTTGAGGATTTTTCGTCATATTTCTCTGCTGAGAGAGATTCAGCTGCGAAACAGATTGAAGAGAAAGAGTAGAAGATGATAGTTGGATTTAGGATTAGAGTCCAAGGGCAGATAATATGCCTGATATCTGTACACCATTTCTGTGCAGAATCTTCAACTCTTCAGACAATTCTGAACGTTTTTAGAGGTATTTTCAATCACTTTTCAGACTCTTTCAACTGTTAATCTCATCAAATGTTTAGATGTCATATTATAGGAATTGATTTCTGTCTTGATTATCTTGTTTTGTCTTTGTAAAAAGGCTTAAAAGAGTTCTAATTCTAACCAAATTGTGAGATTATGAATACGGCGTAAAAAATGCTTCTCGAACTAATTTGAATCCTTTCAAACTCATTTTCAGAGTAACTATAGGGTATATATCAATGTTTCTTATAGTATTTGTTTATTTCTAATTCAGCATTTGTTTGAAATGGTATTTTTGAGGTTATGATTGACTATTAAGCTGTTTCTTACTTCTGAAACTAAATCATTCTGAAGATTTTTTAACACAATTGCTCAATTCTACAAGGAAAATGTGGAATATTCCCAGAATTAACACAAATTTGATAATTTTGAGCATGATTTAATCACCAAAATCTATTTCAAATGAATCACATAACCTAGAAAAGCAAAAAAAAAAGGATTTTTCTTAGCAAAATAATTTAGAAAATGTCTCAATTTGTTGAAACAGAAGCTTTTGTAATTCCTAACACTTCCTCTGAAGCTGTACACCACTTCCTACCATATTATCTGCCCCTTGATTCGCGTATATCATCGCATGATTAGTGTGAAGATGCAAAAAAATATTACTTCTAGAGCTTAGTACGTAAATAATGCTCTTGCAATTTCTCACTTGATCCTCGTCCTGGCAGAAAGTTATCTGCGTGGAATTGAATCATTTGGGATGGTGAGGAGTGAATGAAATTATTTCTGGTGGCATCTTTCTCCTCGTTCTTATCCTGTGGCGGTGGAATTGGATGAGAGTCACAAGATAATGGATGCTGTGGTGTGTAAGGCGCCAGTTTATTAAATTAGTGGCTTTCCAGTGAGCTCATTAGAGAACCATCAGCGCACTCCTTTTCCCACCAGCGCCGCATTGTTCTTAATTCAATGTGAAGTGCCTAATAATCAATTTCAATTAGCTCATGGCGATAAAATTCATCTTGTCTGCCTTTCTCGTGTGGAGACAAGCGCGTGACAATGTGGATGACTGCCAAGGCACCTGCTTCACGGCTGGATGCGAAGAAATGTATGAATATTTGCCATCAATAGAGTCATCACTTATTCTGGTCAGGAATCAGTGGAGAAAACGGAATAAACCTCCGTCATTCGATACAATGCGATGCTTATAAATTTCTCTTTGGCACCACTAAATCACGAAAATCCTCACTACAAAACGTGTCACTCATACAAAGTTCTGCCATGCCATCCATCCGTTTCGCTGTGCAAGAGGCTCTTCTTGGATTTTCTCATTGGCAGCGTCCTCGCTCGAGATCCTTGGCAATTCTCCTTGCCTCTCGCGGGCAATTAGCCACTGATAAAATCCATGTCCAGTTCTCGGGAGTGAAAACTTCTCAAGCGCCACTCAAAGAGTTTCACTGCAAGTCAGGAAAATACTGCACTTCACATTGTGAACATTGCGAACATTGCTGTGTATAAAAATAATCCCCTTAATTCAGTGCAATCCTATTTTGCTCGGCAATTAGCACAATTAGGTAAAATTTTCGCAGGAAAAAAATTGCTACTGATTTGCCGGGAATAATTAAGCAGCTCAGCAGAGACGATAAAGTTCTGAAATATTGATGTTGTTAGCATTCTCCCGAGAGCTCTTCAATATTGCAAATTGTTAATCCTGAGAGTACACTCAGACGTCATTATGAAGTTGAGAGGAAGAAATCGAAAACTTTGATTGCATAACAATCTTAACTGAAGCGTTAGTCTAAAAGGCACTCTTTCTTAGTTTACAAAGTCTGTATAATCTAGGAAATAAATCTCTTGAGAGTGAAAATATTAATCTCATACTCTCAAATTACGTCAAATTGACCACTATTGGCGAATTCACGGGAAAGCCATGCTTTTGTGGTACATTGCAACATCATTAGCCAAAGCGCTTTTCCGCTTGCGACGCCTGAGCGACGAAGAGAGAGGTTAAAGTGTGTAAAGCTTTGATGCAATTTTCACAAAATAACCGCAACATCGACTATGTACAGCTCCAGCTTTCATCCTCACAACTTTGTGTGCATTTGCACGGGGAAAATCATGTGAAAAGAGAGAGAGTGAGAGAGTGGAAAGGCTTAGTGCGGTCTCATATCCACTATGGCCCATTTTCATTTCACCCCCGGAATGCAAACACACGGGCGCCTAGATAAATCCCTCTTATGACATACGAAAGCCCGACTTAATAGACTTTTATGCAAATCGCACTATAATAAGATGTTGCAATTAAATGAAACACCCCTTCAGATCATTTATCCCACCCAAAACACCTTTTGGGCTCTTGCTTAATTTTTATGCGTGCCCCTAAAGCGATTTGGCTCTCAAAACGAGTGGTCTGTTATTAGAAACACTTGTCGGAATGGGCGAGGTTGGGGCTGAGAATGGGCTCTGATTAAATTGAAGCACCTCTGCGCCTTCTGGGTCCCTCTGGAATTTTTGTAGTGCCCATTTTGGCACATCTCCCGGATTTAGGGACACACTTTGTGCACTGGCCAGCAATTTCGGTGCAAATAGGCATGCATGAGGTGCATTGTGGCCACTCTAATCCCAGTGTGCAGCCCCAGGATAAATCATAGGGGATGATTTTAAGTCTCCATTTCGTCTCTCGCTCTCACCTCACTTCCCAATTCGGCCTAATGTGCGCCACTTACAAAATCCCAAGGTGACACGAATACATTCTAGAGCAGAGATAGAGTTTGACAAAGAGACGCATGTTTTCAGCATGTGGAAACTATATAAAATATTAACAACTCTGCTCGGTTAACTTTTTGCCGAGTGGATTGTGCAACTTGCTGTTACATTTGAGACGATAATCTCATTTAAATGCTACACTGGACCATATTTCCTTTGAGATCGTGTGCGAGAGTGTGTTTGGCTCTAATCCCCTCGCAGTGGTTGAAAATCTGTTTTGACCCTTGAAATAAGCTGTAATGGGAATTGAAGGAAGGTCAAAATGATCAAAATGAGATTCACTCAAGGATTCATCAGAGCTTTCACGTCATCTTCTCCATCTTAAGCTGGGGAAGAAATAGTCTTGACAAGAGTGAAACATGGCTGAAAATTCATTTCATTGGCAGAAGCTGAATTTAACACAATTTCAACACAGTTTGAATCTCTAGGACTGCAATTTACTTTCAATAATCTCTGTCTGTATGTAAAATCCGCTGAATCCTGTCATGTTGGATTCAAAATGATTGTGTGCACGACAAGTCATTTTATTTGGTCAAAGAATTCTCTCAGAAATTTACAAGCACTTGAATGTCACTTCTTACTTAGGACATGTCTCTGCAGGAATGCACAGCCTATCGTCATTAGAGCGAAGGTATCCTTTGGCACAGCGGCAACGGTTTTGGCACATGACGTTGATAATTGGACACTCACGTCCATCGCAATAATCATAGCAAGATGAGCCGCATGAAAATACTTCATGTGCATCGCAAACTTCCTCTGCAAAGATCAATTGTGTTTAGCCACAAATGCACTCTTCTCTGATCTTTCAATTTTACCACCTGCAAAAGCAGCAGCAAGAAAAACAGTCACGAACATCAAAATCACGAAGGTCTTCATTTTTTTCAGAATATTGCAGCACTTTCGACTTCTTTGTACGTTGAATTTATGAAACTGACTGGAATCATTCGCCAACAGTCACATTTATACATATTTTAGTAGTGAAGCTCACGATCTTTTTTCGCAATACGTGGCGACTTGAGTTATCAAGTGAAGACTGTGTATTTCGTGTACACGGCGAAAATATTCCACAAACAGATATTATTACTATCGTACGATCAAAAGTCGAATGTATAAAAATGTACGGCAATTGTTAAGACAAGTTGAAATTTATAATTCCGCTAAAATGGCTTAAATTAGAGCGAAAACATGAAATAAAAGAACGAAAAGGAACAATGCATCGTAAATTTATCACAATTTCAACAAAATTACTATTTGATTGCACAAAATGATTGATAACACAGCAAGTCTTTGGAAGGCATTCAAATTTGTGTTTATTGAGTCAAAAAATTCCCTCACAAATTTATTGGCGTACTTTGAATGTCACTTCTTACTTAGTACATTCTTCAGCAAGGACGCACTTGGTGTCATCATTGCTGCGAACATATCCTTTGGCGCAACGGCAGCGGTTTTGGCACATGATGTTCATGATTTCACACTGACGTCCATCGCAATAATCATAGCAAGACGAGCCACAAGAATATTCCTCATTCTCACCGCAAACTTCCTCTGTGAAAACGGATCCGATTTTACCAGAATAGAGCTTCACTCACTGATCTTTTTATCTTACCAATTGCAGGACATTCCTCAATGAGGACGCACTTGGTATCATCATTGCTGCGAACATATCCTTTGGCGCAACGGCAACGGTCTTGGCACTTGATGTTCATGATTTCACACTGACGTTCATCGCAATAATCATAGCAAGATGATCCACAAGAATATTCCTCATTTTCACCGCAAGCTCCCTCTGTGAAAACGGGTGGAATTTTACCAGAATACTTGGCCAGAATATCACTTTATTCGTTGATCTTTTAATCTTACCAATTGCGGGGCATTCATTTGACGGAACACACTTCGAATCATCATTGGCGCGAAGATATCCATCAGCGCAGCGGCAACGGTTTTGGCACATAATGTTCACAATATCACATTGACGTCGATCGCAGTAATCATAGCAAGATGAGCCGCAAGAGAAGACTTCATTCTCTCCTGCGCAAAATGGATAATATCCTGCGAAAGTAGAAGACAATTTGTTTTAGAGCTACACAAAATTCACTAACTTTTCACTAAACTCACTGATCGCAAAAGCACCAGCAACAAAAACGGTGAAGAATATAAAAATCACGAAGGTTTTCATCTTTTCTGAACGACTTTCCTTGTATCTCAAATTCACGAAACTGACTAATGAAATTTCTTCAGCAGCCTCGAAATTTATACTCTCGTAAAGAAGTTTCAGTACACAGACTTTTCTTGTTACACATAGTTAAATTTATTTACTATTACTTGTAGAACTTCGGCATGTGTTGTCAAACAAAGTCAAGCTATTTCACATGCGCTGCGCAAAAGTATTCCGATCGCGGATTCCACGAATCTGCCATAGGCTTTACGAATTCAGATCATACGATCGAAAGCACAAGTGTTGTAAAAATTTTTAACTGAAACGACTGAAACGGAATTTTCCAGGAACTTATATATAAAATGTACGGTATAAAAATATGTTTTCTTAAAATGAAACGCAAAAACAATTTCTTAAAACAGATCATATTTAGGGAAAAGTTGGAGTTTTTACAAGTGAAATTAAGGCATAATTTTGGGGAAATTTTTAAGAATGGAATTTATATATTTTGGTATCAGAATGATTTTTCATCTTAAAATAAGATCATCTTTAAGATTTTTAAAATTCTAATTTGTACATTATTAACATGATTCTCCCCATTCTCTCCTACATATTTTCTCATTTCCCTCTGCTGGATTCTTTTTAACGCATGTGCGACCTTAATTCAGGTCCAATATTTACTGACGAAACACGGGAATTACTTTTTTCTTTAATTAAAACATTTGGGTAAATAATGTGTGAATAATATTCTCTTAATCAAATAAATTTCAATTTGCGTTGACATCTTAAACATTTTTGTGAGTTCTTCGCACCTCACTGAAAAACAATCTTCACGTTAGCAACAAATGAGAACAAATACACAACAAGAAGGCACAGTTTCGTGTAGTTTATCCTGAAGGAAAAGTACAAGTGGCGCCGTGAAACTATAACCGTTTTGTAGTTTTAATTAATAAACTTTTTAAGCTCGCCACGCAAAGCGAGAGGATTGCCAGCTGAACTTTAGTGCTCTTGGAGCTTTTTCTCTCTCGCTCTCACTCACTTTGGCCACTTTTCATCTTTGGCTTTTCCTATGCAATTCCACTTTCCGCAGCGACAATGTTAATAAATACGGGGAAATATGACAGGTCGGGAAATTGTCCTTGGAAGAAAAATGTCGCAATAGCAGAGAAAAGGTGTGATTTTTCCCATAGGACGCCGAGCAGGAGAGATTCTTTGTGAAATATACGCAATAAAATGTCCTCGCAATGCTATAAAGTTCCATTATGTCGCTTCCACGGGGAACAATGAAGGCGAAATGGAAGAAAGTGAATCGATTAGTGTAGGAGAGGATTAAGAGGGGGTGGAAGGACCATAAAAGAAATCACTGTCGAGAGTGTGTATTGACAAGGAAGCCCGGGAAAGTTGATATTTTGCACCTTTTGCACATCATTTTAATAAAGGATCTCTGTGTCCTCAATTTTCCACCTTGAATTCTCACATTACATTCGCATCACATGTGATTTATTCCCATGGCTCAACAAGGAAGTCGCACACGGGATACAAATTACTATCATTAGAGGGTGGCAAATTTTTTCGACACAAAATAAATGTGCGTGTCGAGGAATTTTCTCACGAGAGGCGGGCGCGCCCGACCGCCCACCCACGAAAGAAGCCCTGAGAAATGGCTCGAGATGACGAAGTGCGTCCCTCAGCGATGCTTTATTGTGTTTGCGTGTAGTTGAAAGGAAGTAACAAGTTTCCATCACCTTCTCCTTCATCTCACACCAGCGCTATTCCCGCGGGCCTGATTCACAGCAGCCGCCCTCCTTCAGGCCCTCCTGATTGTTTTCCCCAGACAGATCTGGGAGAGTGTGACTCAGCTGACGAAGAAGGTAGTGACGCGATGACAAAACTTCCTCTCGGCAATCTCCGCTCCAAGATCACTTTCTTAGGCAGTACTTCCTGGAAGCAATTAAAGAGAAGAAGAGAAATTGATTCAAGACACACACACGATGGCATCTCAGGCGTGTGTCCGAATTTTCAGACAAAGGGCTTATTTTTTAGCTCGTAACACGATAATTTCCATTGTTTGATTGAGAAATTAAAGTCCGAGGGGGAAAGTAAAATTATAAGTGCACATTTAGCACTCGTAAATGGGAGTTAAGCAACATATCAAGCAGTGAAAGGTGTAATTTTCTCAGGATATGGCTTTTCACTTCCCATTCTTGCACACTTTTATCCCTGAAGACATCTTCTCTCCCCGGGTTTTTCCCGCCCAATGTGAAAATGTCTGTATGCGGAGCTCACAAATTCACCGGACATTCCAAATTACACCAGGTCATGCGAGTTGCAGCCACAAAAGCGACGATTGAAGCCAGCAGAGCCGGAAGACGTGGCAACACAGCGAGCTTTCACGCGAAAAGCTCTCTCTGGGGGAGGAAAAGGAAGCGAATAATTCATTCAGACGAACGAGCAGGTGGGGCGTGACGATAGTTGTGCATGATAATGATGAGACAATGATATATCTCAGCCTCGTAATACATTCACTGTGCCGGATTAGAGCTTTAAGCTCATCGGGGACGAGGATGTGAGATTTGCAGAAGATTTCACCTGGGGTGGAAATGGGATCACAGACGTAGAATGAATTTCTTCTCTCTCTGGATTATGAAGCTGGAATAGAGATTGAGCATCGCAGTATTTTGTCAAGAGGTGTCGTGGAAAAGAACGACGAAGATACAGTACGTGAGGAAAATTAAATAGCTGGCAAGATTGAGAGATGCAGATTTCTCACATACTCTTTTAGGAAATATAAATTCAATAGAAAACCAGCTGAAGAAAATTATGTTACAAAGTTCAAACAAGACGCTGTAGCGTTGAGATAATTCATAAGTCAGATCTGGCAATTTCAGTTGAGTGAGAAATTGTGGCAAGTATTCGACAAAAAATAACCCATCGCTGCAGATTTTTCAATCTGTCCGGCCAGGAAATTCCGGTTTTAAGTGTAACGATTTTTCTTCCCACTCTCCCACTCCCTGTGAACACTTGAAGAATGCTGAACATTGTTCTAGTTGAGGAGAATGAAGGACGATAGTCGACAGAAACATATTATCCGTGTACGGAGAGCGTAAAAATTCATTTCAACTATCGTCTTCATTTGCTCCCTCGTGCACCACTGCAGCGAACGTGCAAATCTAAATCCACCCACAATTCAATTTTCCCTCTTTCTAACAGAAAATTCACTAACTTGTCCCCTCGGGAGGAGAAGAGGGCGGCGAGAAGCCCACGCCTGCAGAGGCGAAAGTTTGAACTTTAACTTTGTGTTCACGCGACGTCTTTAATTTTGCCAATTGCCAACTTGGCAAATGTTTCTTCACAAACTCCCAAACATTCATCGTCGGGGGTGTTGGATAATGTTAGAGGGAAGTGCGGGTAGGGGGAACAAGAGATGTAAAATAGGGGTATAGCAAGTGGATGGAAACTTGCAAATTTACTAAATCGATTTTCGACAGCGAATAAATTAAACGTTTTAATTATTGAATTTCTCTCTTGCCAGCAATTTCCACTGTGCATACATTCACACCCCCAGAAGTACTGGATGGCAAGCAGCAAATTCCAGTTGCAATTTTCAAATGAGCGCGCGAAACGGAAGAAGTGAGTGCAATTTCAGTGGAAGTTCATCAGGATTTTGTAATTTACATTCCCGCCCATCGGGAAACTCATCATCTTCACACACGCCAACACTTTCGGGTTTCGCCACTGCACTTCGTGTCCCATTTATTGGGTGTTCATCGCCAAAATCTCTGGCTTTTCCAGCGCACAAAAACACTCTATGACTAAGGATGCACTCACAGTTTAGCACAGTTTACTTCATTAATAATTGCACAACATTATAGCTTGTTTACCCACCATTCTGAATTAAATATCTGAAATACCTTTAATGGAATATTTTACTGAGTTACAGCATTGAATTTTGCAATTTTATCCTCTTCCAAGAAACCATCAACGCATGGTGGAAATATTCCAAATAGTTATATAGTTGCCTGATTTTGACCACATGAAGCCTTCTCAACCAAAATTCCTCTCCATTCGCCCATCTCTTTTCAATTTTAATTCGCAACATAACTTTTTCCCACTCATGAAGTTCGCCTTCGCCAACGTCATGAGAGTTTGGGTGGAAGTTTCAGCCCAAGAGCACTTCGACACTTCCGCTCAACATGAAATTTCACCACAAACTTGTATGACGCCCCTTCTTGTGTTTTAATACTTTACAAAAGTCGTAGAAGAAGCCAAACACCCGTGAAACTTACACATACACGTGCTGAAAGAGATGTTGAAGTGTAGAAAATGACGAGAAAAAAATCACAGCGAACACTGAAGAAGGAGTTTTGAGCAAAAAAGCTTGTTTATTTTGCTGAAAGTTCACTGTACTGCGAGCTTAGTGTCAGTCAAAAGCTCACGTGCTGTAGAGCATAATGGCAAAAAACCCACACAAAAATTGCCACAACTAAAAAGAGCAAAATCTGCACAGCGAAAAGAGTTTTCTTTGTTTCACCACCTCAGAAATGCAATGTAACGATGAGCACAGAGCCGAGGACATGCAGACGAAACATCATATAAAGAGATTGAGGACAAGGGGGAGATAATATGCCTAAAATTTGTATACTTTCACAATTCCTCTGCAGAATCTTCAACACTTCAGACACTTCTGGACGCAGTCAAATACATTTTCAATCGCTTTTAAAACTCTTTCTACTATTTCTTAGACTAATTTATAACATTTAGTAAATATCACAAAGTTTCTACAAGGTAATTACGTTAAATTTGCCACTTTTCAAGCATAAACAATGGAAATAATAAAGCAAATAAACATTAACCAAAATTTGTTTTTAAACAATCACATAACCTATAAAAGCAATAAAATTAATTTTTCTGAACAAAATATTTTAGAAAATGTCTTAATTTCTTGAAACAGAAGCTTTGTCAATGGAAATATTCTAAATATTTGACGACTTTCAATTCTCCACACTTCGTCGACCATAATATCTCTTCCTTGATTGTGGAATACCTCCAATAGTTATCCAAGGACAAAGCATTCCATAGTTATGGTTATTATAGGGAATTAATTAGTCTTCGAGAAATCTACATTGCTGAAGTGATTGCATTTCCAATTAATTTTCACTGTGTTTCCTGGGAAATAGATACAAAGTGAATAGAATGTAGGTATTTAGTAAATATGAATTATCCAGTTACTTACACTACAAATAGTGATATTTGTTAAACAAACTATGCAGGAGTTCAACA